TAGATGCTTTTCAGTTTTTGTCCTTTTGCCTGCCCTAAAAAAATTTGATTTCTGGATTCCAACAAGGCCATCACACTGGGTGTGATGTGTGAGGGCTGGTGAGCAGAGCTTGGCCCCACACCCCGCCCCAGCAGGCACTGACCTATCGGGTCATCTGGAACATGAGTCTCATTTCCAGCACTGCACAATTTTCCCCACACTGATGTTATCTTTGCCATCGGCTACTGGCATGCAGCAGCTCCCATATGCCATTAGCAGGTGGCAGAAGACATAAATGGAATTTTCTCTCAGAACATTTCTTCCATTCTTCCTCTGCTGAAGTGCAAGTTCAAGCTAAAGGCATGTAGTGACTGCAGCCGGTTCCCAGCCAGGGCCATGGAGAGTTAGGAGCAGGCTCCAGGAGAAACTCTCCCATCTTTCAGTGCCATGGTTAGCTGGTCAGCACACTGCCCTCAGAGCTTGGGGGCTGTGTGTGGCTGCACTCCTGGCACCCTCGTGGCTCCCTCAGCTCCTTTGGGGTCAGCTGGCAGGGATGTGTGTGCAGTCCCCGGGGGAAGCTGAGGCACCTGCCCATGGTCTCAGCGAGCTGCTGGCAGCTTGGCACAGCTCTGCCCACTGGAGACAAACACAGAAATTTAAGGATCAAGCAAACAAATGTCCAGAAGAGGTATGAGTTCAGGAACAACACGTGCACATTGCGTGGCCTCCAAAAGAAGGAGGCAGAAGCTTGAGGAGCTCCACATCATCCCACATTTATCTGCTGTGAGCTCAAGCTGACTTGCCTTCCAGCAGAGCCACAGTCAGAGGAGCCTGGGAGCTGCTGCTGGAACAGTGTGCCTGAGAACACTCCTGACTCGCCATTCACTTTTGGATCTGGATGTCCTATATAGGAAAATAAATGGCTTTCTGAAAAATCTTATTCAGGTTTCTTCTTTTATTTTTAATATTAATTTTTTTGTCTTACTCAACTGCAGAAAATCCTGCTCAAAGTTGCTCCTGAACTTGATGAAAAACAAACATATTGAAGACCATGGCTCAGGACCCCCTTGGTCTCTAGACCTGAGCATTTATTTTTCATCTATTTTGTTTTGTCCCCAAAGGACAATTTCATTCCAGGTTCATGAGCTCATACTGAAAAACAACAGAACATTTCCAAAGTCACAGAATTCTGTGGCATTGCAGGTCTAATGCTTTGGATCCAAAGTTAAACTTTGGGGCTTTTTCCCCACAAAGATACTTAGATACCTGACCAAATGAAAAGTGTTTCAGTGCTACAACTGCCACATTGATGTTCTTGTCTGTCTGACCTGTCTCAGGGACTTTGTTTGTTTTGTCATATAATGCAGATAGGGAACTGTCACTTGCTTTTGTTCATTAAAATTGTTATGTTCCAAGGTTATTTAAAATAATTTTCTTCCATACAAGTATAGTTTCTATTGCCCAGTGTGCTCTCTCATCATATGTGGAAATCCCATTCCCTGGTTTCAAAAAGCCTTTGGGTTTTTGAATGCTGTTTCTTTCCCACGTGGGGGTGGGGGCAGTGAAGAGAACACTGCTGTGTGCAGCAGGGCACAGCTGACACTGGAAAGGTGCACAGACACTTGTGCTAGCCAGAAAAATAATTTCCTTAGAAGAGTATTTTGCCTAAAGCCCACTAGAGATTGCAGCCCCAGATAATTCACTGGCTTTGGCCCAGGATCAGAGCTGAAACTCTGCAGAGGGGACATGGCCAGCCCCTGGTGTAAGCACTGGTGGCCACACAGGCAAGGGATCTCCTGTACCAGATGACCCAGGGCAGAAGGAAAGAAAAGGCAGGAAGGAAAACAGGAGTTGTAAGAATTTTGTTGTACTGGGGGGACAAAAAAAGAACTTGTCATCTGACTAAGAAAGCAAATTCCACTAGATCCCAAATTTCCTATCTCCATGGAACAGCTTCTGTCAAGTGCAGTCAATACCTTGGAGTTCTCCATGTTCCTTTCTTTTAAAATTCAAAGTCAAAAGGTGACTTTGAGGTGGCTGCATAGATTTGCCCTTTTCTTCCCTTGGAGCAAACAACCAGTAAAATTCTCTGGCGTATTTCTCTCCTTTCTGAAGTTTCTTTCCTCAATTGTCCTCCTCCATAAAATCAGACCCCTTTTCACACATGGGTGAACCTAGAAATCATTTAGGGTGGGAAGCATGTGAAACACTTCAGTGAACATCAGGTAATTGTATATTAGAGGCCTTTTCAAAGGTCATCTATTCCTGGGTAATTTTTCCAGCTACTTTCTTCATGAACTGAAGCTCACTGGCACCGAGTGAAGAACAGGGTGGTTTTCTTTGCACAAGTCTCCAGGCCCTGGCCCTGTGAATTGCCCACCCCTGACCACTGTGTGATTCCTTTGATGTTTTCTTTCCAAGATGCCCATCTCCACGTGTCACCTGTGTTTGTATCACTCACCTGTGTCCTGGGAATGGCTGAGGTTTTCAAACACACTGCTCATTAGATTCTACACTTTTCTAAAAAAGGCTGACTTTTCAGTTGCATCAGGAAATAAAAAACAACCTGAAAATCATGAGACACACAAATAGACACACAAACACAGGCCACTGGAGTGCTGGTGAACCTGCCTGTCTGTGGTTGCTCCTGGTGCATTTCTGCTATGACAAGGATTCCAGGTGGGCTTATGCTGCAGCTTTACCTTCTCAGCATCACAAATTTGGGTATTATTCCTAACAAACCAATAAAATTTGGGAAAAATAAATAAGAAACGAAAACATTAATTTAAATGAACTGACAAGTGTTACAGCCACAAGATGATCACATAACATAATCCCAACTTCCATTCAAAACCAGACAAAAAACATCAAACAACATTAAAGAAACTTTATGCTCTTTAGTAATGCAATTTCAACTACAGAAGCAAATAAATTTGGTTTATACTAAGTATGGAAGCACAGAGTGACTTCTCTAGATAAAATTTCTATTTTTGGAGAGATTTAAATTTCCTAAACTGCTCTTGTTTTCTGAAAAACAACCCAGAATGGAGAAGGATAACACTTAGGCTGTACATTCATTAAAGCAAAGTCTTTTTTTAAACTGCAAACCTGGCAATCAAGGCCCTCTTTTGTCCCCCTGGGAATGCAAGACCAGTCAGTAACAGTGGGGTCAGCTCCCGGCCCCAGATTCCCAAGTGCTGCTCCAGACACTGCCCAGGTTCTGCCAAGTTTGCCTGTGCAGGGTTCTGTTCCTGAGGCTGCATTCCTGGGTTCTGCAAACAGCCTCCACACAGCTCCAGACATGGCAGTGCTCATGGTCAGACAATTGTGCAGAGGCAGGAATAGCTGAAATTCTAGTTAAGGAAAACATAAGTGACATATGCATTTGAGAAAGTGATGGCTGTGCAGTGCAAGTGCATCAGTGCCAGCCTCCAGAGCTGCAGCCAGCAGTGCCTTTGCTGCAGGACAGCAGGATAATAATATAATTCTCTGTACTAGTTATTGCAGCTACTGCTTGGAATGCACTTCACTGTGGAAGCAGCAAAGCCCTATGGACATTTTACATGAAAGAAACGTTGATGTGACTCTGTTAAAGAGAACAAAAGGCATTTTGTGGATTTTTGGCTTTGCCCAAGTGCTGTATATTTATATTTCTTGATACTACTGCAGAGTATAGGAGATGTTAACAGCTGTGCCTTGGCATCAGCACTGGGCTGGCAGTCTGTGCCAAGGTCATGGCCAGTAGCCCCAGAGTGGCCGTCAGCACCTTGCTGACCCTGCACTGAACCGCACTCTCATCGCCACACAACATTAACTCTGACTTATCCATGGAAATGAACAATTGCCCAATAGCAGAATGGACTCAAATTGGTAATCCTGGCAGGCTCCAAGCAGGTGAAAGTTGACCCCGTTATAGTCTTGTGAGCACGAAGGAGGCATAAACCACAATAACGGAGCCGCAGTGCGGCTCTGACCCCACGGCACTGCCAGAAAATCCCTTCCCTAACAGGCCTTAAAGCACTCCAGGCTGAGCTTGTCTCAAGTCTCAGACCTCTGCATGTTACCCATTCCAATGCAGATTCTAGGGCTAACCACAGTACAGAGAAAAACAGCCGAGGACACAAAACACCAGAATAATTTTAAACATTCACTACTAAAATACTGTATAAATTAAAAATGCTGTCAGCATTTACACTAAAATCAAAAGCATCCCAGGTTTTAGGCTTTGTTTTACATTTCATGCTGAGTTAAACAATAAATATTCAATCCCAAGAACTTAGTTTGGAAGTTCAGCAATTTTTAAGACCCCTCAAAGAGAGTTTGAAATGACTCCCCAAAGCAGGGGGCCTTTTGCAGCAGCCAGAGCGTGCAGAGGGCTGCGTGGAGCGTGGGCTGGCAGCGTCACCACAGAGCCTGCCCGTGGCCAGGGGTTCTGGCAGGATGAATCCATGGATATGCCGAGTCGAGGTTTGCTGTGCTGGCTGTTCCCACCCTCCGAGGGCCCTGGATCAGCCACAGCTCCCCTGGCTCTGGCAGAACCTCCCTGCCATGCCCAGGGCAAGACTCACCCAGGGGCTGGGCTCTGTCCCCTCTCAGGGGTGGCTGCCCTGCTCCCAGGGACCCCCCAAAGCCCCCGCACAGAGGCTGCAATCCCAGCCCTGCACACTGTGGGTGGCAGGGGAGTCTGAGCTCAGCAGCTCTCACAGCACTTTCTCACCGCTTTCGCCCCTGAATTGGCGCTCCCCAGCCCCAGGAGCAGCAGCAGCAGCAGCCCTTCCCTTCCAGGTGAGCCACCGAGAGCTCACAGCTCCCTGGCTGGGACCTGGGCACAGAGTGTGGGCACTGCTATGGCTGGGACACGGGCACTGCTCCCTGGGACCTGGGCACACGGGACGTGGGACCACTGCAGCTGAGTCGTGGGCACGTGCCCATTGCTTCCTTGGTAGTTGTGCAGACCTTCAGGACCAGAAGTTCTCATCCAGAATGCAAAGAGCAAATCCCCACACTTTCTTCCAGTAGTTAAATATTTTCTTTATTTATCAGAGCAATAGCCTTCAGAAATCAAAAGCCCAGGTCCTTCCCCCCCACTGCAGAGTTCACGTGATACCAACAACACCCAGAACCACCAGAGGCAGTGACTTCTCTGCATCACTCACCCCACACCATGGCCATGCTCCCCGGGCTGGCAAAGCAGGTTCCAGGGCTGGAGAGTGAATCTTTGGGAAGTGCTGTCAGTCAGACAGGTGAGTGTACCTGTCCTATGCCTTTGCCGACCCCCTGAAATGAGAGATGAAATTAAACTCATTAAACTATTCGAAGCAAGGACTAAAATAAAATTATTCCAATGAGGAATACCTGCATTTAAAAGAAATTATATGGGTATTATCAGCTAAAGAGGCTGCTGTCTCTTCCAGAACATGCTGCTGCTGACAAGACCTTAACATGTCGCTGGTACCACTAACACCTGAGACAGTAAACAAGAGCTAATCCTTACACCCTTCTTGTGCTAATCACTGCAGGAGATAACTGGTGTCCCTGGCAAGTGTCCCATTTAATTCAATTAACTCCAGCCAGGCCCTGTTGATTGCACTGGCAGTGTCAGAGAAAGCCAGAAGCCAGATCTGGAGTCAGATGGTAAAACCAAGGCAGTCTCCACCATCCCTCTGTGGCCTAGTCCCCAGCAGACAATCCCAGGGGTAACAACCAACCTGGCATCCACAGCAGCTTCTACAAAAGGGTGTGGAAAAGCATAATTTTTTTTCTTGAAAATGCTCATCTTTTTTTTCTGAGAAAATGCAGGCAACTTATTTCATTGTATATTTCGCTTATTTATTCTGAAATGCTGGGTTACGTGTTACAAAATAAGTTTAAGCAGCAGTTTCAGAGTGTTCCCACCCCCTTCCACAGGTCCAAGGCAGCGGGAAGATCATGTTTCTCCTAACAGAAGGCAGATGTCTGCCAGCTGATCTGGGGGCACACAGATCTGCTGGCCCCTCCAGGGCACCCTGACACTTGCAGAGATTGAGTGTCTGAGGTATGAACTGAAACATTCAGATAAACATGAAAAATAAACTAACCATGAAAAATTAAGCTGCATGAACAACTGGTATATCCCCTCAATACAACTGATACAGTTCCCAGGTCTTTTTGATAGTAAAAAAATACTTTCCAAATATTTTCTTTTCTTTTTGAACATGCTTCAGCTGTGAGCTTCAACAGGTAGTAATGTATTCACCAATCCACATTATTCAGTTAAGAAGTTTTTAAGTAGAAAGAGATATGCAGAGAAGTTCTGAAGTGTTAGTCTAGGATAGCAGGTAAAATCCTCAGGAGCCTGTACACTGCCAACATAAATAGAAAGTGTATTTAAAGATGGGAGATTATCCATTCCTTTACAGGGCTGCCATACCTACTCTGTTGTCAGGTCTTGGTAATAGTTTTATTTGAAGGTCAGTCCAGCACAAATAGCACCCAGAAAATCTCTTCTGCTGGAAAACAAAGCCCTCAAACCTTCAAAAGGAGCTGTAAAGACTCATATGTGGCCATCAGCTTGGACATGACTCAGAAGCAGCATGAGCCAGTGGAGATTTCTGAAGCTTCACTGAGTTTCTTTGTGGAAAACTCGTTATGGCATTCCAGTCATCCTCCAGGATGGCTGAGAGCACAACAGGGAAGCCCAAACATGTTAACATGTCATTGTGTTGCACCTGCAAATCCACTGGAGAACAATTCTCTGCAAATAAAGCTCAGCCGCTCCATCTCAGCAACTGGCTTCCAAGTCAGAAAGCCTGTGCTGTGGGCCCACTCATTAGCATTAAATACATGTTTAAATCAACTTCTACATCCTATGGACATTCTTCCCGTGCCACAGCTCCACTGGATAGAAGTGCTGAGCTCCTGGTACGGATGTGGGCTCTCATCTCCCCCTTGTTCCCATCTACGTGTTTGGTATTTTCCAGAAAAGAACCAACCTCCCTGCTGTGCACCAAACCCAACTGTGCCCAGGTGTTTCTATCAGGCACCACTTTTACACCAGTTCAAGATCCAGGAGGAATAACAAGGGGAGACCAGAGCTGTGCAGAAATAACTGCAAGAAAAATGCCATTAAGTGCAGCCACAGTTGGAATTCCCAGCCCTGACAGTGTTGATGGATCTGGGCAGGCTGACCTCAGTGCTGGCACCCAGAGCAGGGGTGCACAGAGCACAGCACACACGTCCAGGAGAGCACCTGGCTGCACTCAGACCATGCAGCAGAAGTGGGACAGAGCTGACCATCATTCCAAGTGCCTCCCAGAAAGCTGCAGCTGGCCACTGCCTGAACAACACTCCGGTTCTTCCTTGCTGCTTACAGGTACAGGGTGCATGTCTATGGCATCCTGCAATTAGCAGCCTCCCCTCTTCAGATCTGTGAGCGAGTTAGCTCCAACAGGGCTGTGTTGAGCCTTATCTCTTTCAAGGTGAGGTGTCAGCCAAGGGAAAATTGTGCCTCATGAGGGCTGGCACCCATGTGAGCCATATGTGTGTGTGGCAGCAGTGGGACAGCAATAAAAAAAAATGGTGTAAAAACCCCAGGGCCTTTCAAAGCATTTCCAAATGCTGCCCCAATTTTCCTGCTGCGTGTTAGATTCTAGGAAGCCACCACCTAGACAAAACAGCTGTGGAGCCACATCTAAAACTGCCTCACCTTTTCTGTACCACAGGTGAGGTACAGAGAGCTAACAACAGTATTAGCATGAAACTTAGAGGCTAATCGGGTTCTGCAGTCACTGAAATTGATGACAGCTCAGCAATTAACATCCCTGAATTTTCTTGACTAAAATAAATGTAAAATTTGCCCCCATTCATGCTTCTCCCTGCTCCACGAGCAAGCACTGCGGTAGCCTGGCACACAGGGGAGTTCTGGCACCCCTGCCAGGGCTTGTGGGGTTCCCAGCAGTTACTGGGGCAGGCATAGGTCTGGGGAGAGATTGTTATCTGCAAATCAGCATCATTTCACAGGAATGGAACGTGATATTCAATGCCAGGGCATGGGAACAATCACCAGCACATGAACACACACAAGACAGCATCCAGCAGGAACGGTGAGCGGTGATGGTGCGGTGTCACACCCTCCTCTCTGCAGGTATGTCTGGCAGTGATCCACCCCAGTGCTGCTGCTGCTCCAAGCAAAAGAGAGAGAAGTGAGAGCATCTCCTGCTCAGGGTGTCAGAGTGGGACACAGGCCCAGCCTCTATCAGTACTTCTTGTAAGTGAATCAGAACATCTTCTGTTAAGGTGGGCAATAACACCTACCGAAAGGCATATGAACCTTTCACTGGACCTCCCAGGGGTGCATCACACATTTGGGGCAGAGAAAAACACACCCTATTTAACTGTACGTGTTATTATACATGTTATTTTCAAGTTGAGGGGGTTGTTCTCCAAGATCCATAATGAGAAAGTGAATGCACGGCCATTACAGCTGCAAGCAGCAATTGCTCTGCCTCAGGCAGCGTGCTGCAGACTTGCTGTGCAGGATATGGCCACCTGCAGCCTCTTCCAGGCTTTCTGTGCAAGTGTGCTGTGTGTGCTCATCTGGCTGTGGTATGCTCACCTGCCCCGTGCTCACCTGCAATTTGTGCAAGAGCTCTACGATCTCATTTTTAGTTCATTGTTCTGTACAACACTCGTAGTTTCTGATCCATAAAAGCATCTTATGGTAGAACATTTGAAAAAGCCATGGCATGCTTCTGCCTCCACTCACAACTGAAATCTCTGACTGCTGACAGAGCTGAGCTTCCAAAGCCAGCCCCTCTTCTGTCCCTTCCTTCAGCACCTGCCTTGATTTTGCTGTGGCCAGCAACTTTATCTGCACTCTCTGGTCCAGATGTTGCCTGTGACCCTTCATGAGAATCTCCCAGTTCTGCTGTGACCCATGAGGCAAGGAAGGGGCATGGTATGAGGCCTGTTCCTCACCTCAGCTGTGATGAAGAGGAGGTCACAGCTGGGCCCTGCTGCTCCTGCTCACGGATGGGAAATCCCTGCCATCACCACACAGCTCATTGCAGTCGCTTGCTCCACTCTCCTCCTCCCTTCTTCCTACGCTTGCTGCAGGCACGAAATGTTCCCAGGCTCCCACAGCCATGCCTGGGGCATGCCAAGTCCATATGCTGCTGTCCCTTTCACACACATTTCCAAAGGGCAAGAAAAATCATTCCTTGGAGATCCACTTCTCTGTGTGCAGTTCATCAAGCAGAAAGAACAAACCTGGCCGAGATGGCCACAGAAACATGTCACTGTTTAGAAAGGCTTGACACCCAAAGGTATCAATTATATTATTTTGGGGTAAAGTAATATAACCAGTTTTATTTCCAGTGCAATGTGCCTAACTTTTTCTTAAGTAAATTGCATTTGTACTCATTTGGTTTAAAACTCTTGATGTGCCAGGAAGAAAAAAGTCAGCATGTGTATTATATATACTACAGATATTATATACCTCTGCATTATACTACAGACATCCATTCCTTCCACCATTTATATCAGTATTTCAGACTACCATCAGAGCACTCTTGGCTTCATTCTAAAACTCAGCCCCACAGATTATGAGCAAAGGAGTTTCTGCATTAGGAGTCCACAGCTCAGGTCTGCCCTTGGCTGTCCCAGGCAGTTAACCCTGTTGGAGGCGTTGGCAGTGCTGGCATCTGAGGGGACCCCTCTCTGTAGCTGCCATCGTGTGTCCATCAGCCTCCATGCCCCACTCTGCCATCGGGCTCTGTCCCCAGGAGCATTGTCATGGCAGCTGAGGCTTCACTTACAGCTGCCTGCAAAATATAGACTGTGAACAGCATGGATTTTAAGTGCCAGTTCTTTTCTTGACTGATGCTCCCAGCTGATGGTAAGTTCATATTTCAAGGTAACATCACATTCATCAGTGTCACAAACAATTGCTGCCTTAAGAATCAACAAAATCCTTCCCTTCATTAGGTCTCACCTGAAGAATCCTCACATGCAGAAATAAGTCTGACAGCTCTCTGGGATGCCAAGGCATAAGCAACATAAAGACCCATGTGCTGGGTGAAAGCTCAGACCCAGGGCTGGAAATGTCCTCCTGAGCAGCAGCAATTGCAGCTCACATCACAACATTCCCAATAAAAACAGCTGAAGATCCCTGTTTCAAAGGGACTGAAAGTTTTGGCCAAAGCTGAACTCTTGTACTCATCGCTGTAGAAGCCTCATGGGGCTCATTCCCCTCCCTGTCCCCTAACATATGTGGATCACCATCCCACAGCTTTTTTTTC